TACGACTGTAACAAAAGCAATGAGATTTCTACAACTGACATCAAAAGGTCAAGGGGCTGTATCTTAACAAGGGATGCTCCAATGAAATTTCTTTATATGAAAGATCCTATCCTTTTTTTCGATGAGGAATCACCTCCTTAAATGTTTTACACTTATTTAGTTACACCCTGTATTGATTCTTTGAAAATAGTTGAGCTTTGTACTCTCTTTGCGAGTCTTACAAGGAACAAAAAATTTACACTTTTAACACATGTACATCTGAAAAATTGTAAGTTAGTTCACTAAGTTGAAAGAAATAAATTAAATGGCATCAGTTGTCAGGGAAATTCGAAAGCAATTGGTGGTTCAGTGGCGTATAGTTGCGAATTGAATGGATGAAACAATAGGCATAATTCTGGAAGTTTTATTTGGTGTCCAACCGAAACTGGTTTTTACGACTGAAACCGAATTTCGGCAACGGTCTCAGTTTCGGCCGAAACCGAAACATCCTTAAAAGGATTATGTTTTGAGGAAAATATAAAGAAAACGTTATTATAATCAGTCAGTCTTTTCTTATCTTCAAATCACAACGTTATGCAGTCTTTGATATTTTGACTTATTGATAATCAACAAATCAACATAAAAACCCGTTACTTGAGAAAAAATATCAATTGCACCTTCAAAATATTTGAAATAGGTGAGGTGTTTATTCGAGTAGGTGTAGATTCTTCTTTTAAATATTATTAATGGTTTTTCAAAAATATTAAAGATAAAATTAATAATTTAAGTTGTTTTCTAATATCACAATAGGTCTTTAATATTTATGAAACAAACAAAGTAAATCACAAAGTAAGTCACGAGTCACGACATGATTAGGCACGTGGACGCGGAAAAATGTCTATGAAATTCAACGCGCCGAACATGACCGATCACAGCGCGAGAACTCCGGAATGCAGTTTTCGTTTCGGTCGTAGTTGCGGCAGGTTTGCCGCCGAAACCACTAAACCGAAACCCGTTTTTTTTGCCTAAACTCGACCGGAACCGAACTTTCGGTCGGACACTAGTTTTATTTGTTGTAATGAGTGTCACTTACCTGTGAACCCATGGAAATTCTAATTTTTTCCAAATTAAAACTGTAAATAACACCACACTCACCTGTTCAACTTATTGTTTAAGCTGTTGGGCAGCTGCGTGTGCTTGGGCGAGTTGTTGGGCGTATAGAGCGAGTCGTTGTCGCTCTCCGAGCATACCGTTTCTTGGCGCAGCAACTCTATGGCGGCTGAGGTGAACGAGTGCCGCCTCTCGAGCCCATTGCTAGCCGATTTATTGAGCAGCAGCAACGAGTCGCTGTGTTTCAGCTTCCCGGGCTCGTCGCTGTCGCTCTCCACGTCGACGCTAGTCTCCTGCCACTCCGCGAGCGAGTTGAGTCGCTCGAGGTTCTCCTGCTCCGACAGGTACTGCTCCGAGTACTCGACCAGTTGGTGCATCTCGCGGACTCGGCGGAGAACCTATAAGTAAAATATATATTTTAATGAAAGAGTTCATAAAGTATCATCATTATTGATTTGTCAGCTGAGCTAACTTTTTCTTCCTATCATAGATATTGAATTGAACTCGTCCAATCATGAGATATATTAATGCAATCACTGACATACAGCCCCATATTACTCTCTCATAATATAGCTTTCTGTAGGTGAAAGCATTTCTGTATCCAATACTAACTGAAAATTTCTATATCATGTTTTTATGAATTATAGTAATTTGAATGAAAATTTTTTGCCAAAAAAATTATCCTATCAAATTTGTCTATTTCTAGTCATGTGTGTCGAAATAACCAATGAAACCATCATTACACTGATAACTACCCATGGATAGTTTTCACGGGTAGTTATCACTTATGTCATGACATTGCTAAGCAACCAACACAATAAAGTTGTTTGACATTTCAGTAATTCAATTTATTTCGAAAATGTCACTTCCTCGCTTTGGTGTTCAAAATGATGCGGCAATTGACAAAATCATTGAAGAAAATACACCAAANCTGAATAGTGTCCCTTTGTTGCAATTGTACCATATTCCCACTTTATATTCCATTTCGTTCATGCCTATTTTTTATATATATAAAACACTAAATATTGTATTGACTATATTTTATCAATTTTAATCAATCTATTTTTTATATACCATTATCTTTTTTGACTAGTCCAATAAGTTACATATTTTGTAGTTTTCACCACACAATGTGTATTCTTTTGTGATGAATAAATGATTCCGATTCTTGTTATGAGTAAAATTGGAAAAGTTACACAACGATATAATATAGTCCCTAATTTGGAATTCGTTTTAAAAATTACCAAAACTAATATTTTTCTTATTCATTTTCATAACTGGCTTCACTAATAAGAAGTTGATCATATTTATAAAGCAACAGCTCTAGCAAATTATGCCTTTGCTCGATTTCATTTCAAGAGATACACATTCGACAAACCATTCGAATGAACCTTGCTCATTCAACAGCAATCTCACAACCAGATCCATTTTTCGAATTGACAACATCAAATGAACCTATTTGAGCATTATGTTCGATGATTTTTTTGTGCGACAGTCAGCTTAGGTAAGGAAGTCAATTTCGAAATTGCATCACCTGTAGCTGTTTTTATACTAAGCTATTGCTCGCGGGTGTTGAACAGCATACTATAGAAATTGAACCCTCTTTTGGATTGAAGGTTGAGCTAAAAGCACAACCTGAATGCATGCAAATATACGATAAAACTTACAGAAGTATTCATCCGGAATACCGTGTTGCAAGTAAGATAAAACTATATTATCGTCGTTTTTCTACCAAGCCAATGGCATGTTTTTTTTTATTGACGGCTACTGCGGTCTAATTTTAGATTTGAATTATCAGCAACAGACAAAATATTCAAATATTTTTCACAATAAATGTATGTAAACCAATAGTATATACTAGAGGGGTTCGTTCAACTTTGTCATTTACCTGAAAATTTATATATTTACCCAGAGATATCCATACATTTAAACCCGTTGGAGTTGTTATTTGATATTCAAATAAATTTAACCTGATTCCTTTTACTGACGAATCCTACCCTCCCACTGAGCTACCACAGTGTGCAAATTATAGCTACAATCATATAAGAGTAAATCACGTTATTTTTTAACTTTTTATGATAACATCCACATATTTCAGAATCTTTTATTTTTGTTTTTCGAGTATTGTTATTTTTTGAGTCATTGACGATAAACTGAATGCCTTTTTTATTAATTTCAATTTGTTAATAACAATGGCATTCCTTGTGAGCTGCATAATCATTGAAATACTTTTTCTATGTGTTATTCTGAATCCAATGAACTATTGCTACTATTTTTAGGGGCTTCATGTCTACTCAACACGAATTCAGACTAAATCGACTTTGTCAAGAAGTTTTGGTCAAGTTTGAATACTTATGACACACAATGAACCCTTGTGGGAAGATTCACCTCTTCGTTTCTAGCTTCAACGAGCCCATTATCGAAGATATCTATCGAGCCTGACTCCGTTGACTTCTGATCTAAGCTGAGGAACTGCCTGTTCTTGTCCACCATCGAACTATTCATATTACTATCCAAGCTGTACGCGATCATCAGGGGTTGCTTCGACTGCCTTCCCATGGTATTATACAGCCCGTTCGTCTTCTTGCTGACGCTCTTGTAAACCGGAGGTACGGCGAAGCACGCCAGCTTCAGAGCCGTCTGGTTCGTGTAGCTCCACTTCTCGGGCACCACTTTGTGCTGCGAGAGATAGGGCGGCGCGAGATCTTCCATCGGGGGCTCTTCCTCCTGGTCGACGGGCAAGTCTTCGCCGGTCGCCAACTTGAAGTAGCCGCGCAGAACGAGGACCAATTCGCAGGCGTCTCGCTCTTCGAGAGATATCGTGACTACTTTTTCGGTGTTCAGAAAGACGAGGACGGTGCGCGTGATTTCGTCGTCGCTCCTAACTTCGATTCGTCGCATGTCTTCTATGTTGGCTATCGGGATGGGTTGGAACTGGAAACAAAATCAAAATGACTGGTGAATTTTTACTAAATTTGTGCATGCATTAGAAAAAAAGTATCTTTCCTAGTCGTAAATACATTTTACGCGTTCCGTGTGGAAGATTTTATATAAGGCAAGGTAGAATGAATCTGAGTGGAGAGAAACGATTGGAAATGATAAAAAAATTTGAAATGTGATAAAGAGGATTTGAGAGCGGCCTGTGCTCTATAATCATGCTTCGAAAAGTCACAGAATTATTTAAAGATATTGCAGTAACTTGCAGCAGCAAGTGAATATAGTAAATACGAGTGTGGGTTGAAAAGTTTTCGATCTAAGAAAGATACAAGACATTTTTTCAGAGTTATTTTTTTATTTTTCAACATAGTCTCCTTTTAACTCTACACACTTCTCCCAGCGATGCTCCTATCTCTGTAACCCGTCCAAATAGTACTCGGCATTTTCTCTGCAAAATAATCGTTCACGAAGGTGATTGCCCCTTCATTTGACAAAAATCTCTGTCGTCCGAGCGCAATTTTCAGATGAGGAAACAAAAAGAAGTCGCTTGGGGCAGATGGTCAAGCAGTTCAAACCGTAATTCGTGGATTTTCGTCATGGCAACCGTTGAGGTGTGAGACGGTACATTGTCTTGGTGAAACAGGATTTTCTTTTTCTGTGAATGTTGCCGTTTTTCCGCAAGTTCTGCCTTCAGCTTGTCAAGTAATGATGCGTAGTATGCTCCTGTAATACTTTTTTCCTTCTTGAAGATAATCAATTGAAATAACTCCGTGACTATCCCAAAAACAGTCGCTTTCCTAACGGAAAAAACAGATTTGGCTTTTTTTGGAGCTGGTTCCCCTCTTGGCAGTCCACTTCCTGGACTGTATTTTTGTTTCGGGCATATAATGGTACCAACTTTCATCTACATTGATTAATCGGCGCCAAAACTACGATTTATTGCACCTAAACTGCACCAACAGCGCGTTGGAAATGTTCATTTGAACATGTTTTTGGTCTAACGTGAGCAAACGCGACACCCAACGAGCGGACAGCTTTCTCATGCCTAAATGTTGATTCAATATGAGACAAACACCTTCTTTTGACATGTTCATAACCTCTGCTATCTCTATCACTTTGATTCGGCGGTCGTCTAGCATCATTTGGTGAACTTTGGCGATGTTTTCATCGGTAGTTGCAGTTTTTGGACTTCCCAAACATTCATCGTCTCCCAAGCTCTTACGGCCACGTAAAACACAAAAACAAATATTTAATCACAGCTCGATACTTAATTTTGTCTATTTTCATAAAAGCACTCACATCAACTCATACGTTCGACTGTTACATAACAACTACGTGTCCAAAATGGCTGAAACTTTGGTGAATAACTGTCAACAGATGAACAACGAAATTTACTAGCTTTTATTTGCGAGTGTTGAATGTTGAAGTCGGAAACTTTTCAGACTACCCTCGTAAATAAAAACTTATTTTTTACTCAAAAAATGTATGTTGACGAAAGTATTACTTATTTTTGCTAAGTTTACAAGGTATAAGTACCCACGGCCGTAGCAAGAAAACAATTTAGGGGGAGGGTTTGGTGGAGCAGTAGAAAAATATGAAATATAAAAATAATGAAAGAAAGAAAATTGTGTTACATGATCATATATATATATTTATTAGAAAACCATTACAGAAATATAAACATCTTTTTACAAAATCAAATTTAGTTTTCTAGCTTTCTTTGCAGCAAACAAATCAATTACCTACTCGGTGCCGATGTCAATTCTATGGTGGATTGACATTAACGCCAAACCGTTTAGTCGTTCCCGGCTTGTGGAGTTTCTTAAATAAGTTTTGAGGCGTTTCAGAGAAGAGAAAGTCCTTTCAGGGATACATGTGGAAACAGGTAGTGTCGCCAAAATCTTTGAAAGTTTGTACGCACATTGCCGTAAGGTTTTTCCATTGTGTTTCGTGGAAGTTTTTTTCAATGTTCTCTTTCAAGCACTTGGTTAATTTTGTCAAAGACTTGATGAAATTTGTAACGGATTTTATAATTCCGATAGTATCTGTATCTGTAGACTAGGGAGGGTGAGAATGGGCCCACAGCACTTAGGCCCATTGTACATTCTCCCAAGGAGTTATCCTCCTAGGTCATCGTCTATTCTGTCCTTTCCAGGAAGGTGGACATCAGGTCATTAGGAGACATCTCCTTTATATCGGCAGGTGTAGGCCAAAACTCGCCGAACACACACTCTCTTATTGACCATAATTCCGGACACTCGCAGAGGACATGCCTGAAAGTTTCATCATCCTGTTCACACATCCTGCATAAAGGTTTGTCCACTAGCCCCATATTGTGGAGGTGTTTTCTTAGTTGACAGTGACCAGTCAAAAATCCTACTGTTAAGCGTAGATTTTACCTAGTCATCACTAGATATTTCTTCGGCGCCAGCTTCCCAGGGTCGCCCAGAGGATCCTGGCAAGATTGCATCCTTTGACTCCATCCCATATCTTTACGGATTGAGCATGGGTGTAACGTTTGCCTAGGTCCGCAATTGTCGAACTCATCAGGCCGTAGGCGCCACTGGGTCCTAAAATTCTTAGTCCAGCCGCTTCTTTGGCTAAAGAGTCGGCAATGCGATTACCTTTACTCCTGTCGAGCCCTTAAATCCACCCCAGGATAATGTTATTATCTACCGAGGCTTTGGCTAAATCTTGGTGGCACTCTAGTACTAGCCCTGAGGTAACAGGTTATCTATTCTAGGCTAATAGGGCTTGTCTGCTATCAGTGCAGATTGTTATTTTTTTGCCAGAAAGTTTTTTCCTTGTTATTTCTTTTGTGGCAATTGAGACACCAGTCATTTGTGTTTGAACCACGCTGGTATTTTTTCCCATTCCCCACTTAATCCTTGAGTACACTCCACATCCTGAGCCTTTTTTTGGTTTTTGAGCCGTCTGTATATATGCGTATTGCATTTGTAGCACTCTGTGTTCTGTTTTATTTGTATTTTGTAAGGTTTATTGAACACAAACCTGGGTACAATTACATCACTGGTTGCATACAGCAGAGGCTGCGCAGTGAGCGCTTCTTGCCATAAGCACAGCCTCAATTGACCCATTTCTACTTTGAGGTTCATACAAGCCGTGTGCAATCGTAACATGGCCGTTAATGCAACCTCCTTAACGTACAGGTCCAGAGGGGACAGACCAGTAATTAATTCCATTGCCGCGGTTGGTGTTATTCTCATGGTTCCTGCGATGTTTAAACAAGCCAATTGTTGTATTTGGATGTAGAACATCCAAATGTAGAACTTTCGGGGGGACCAATCTCCCCAATAAATATTTTTCCAAAGAGATACATGCTTATTTGGAAAACAAATAATTTGAAGTGAAATTTCGGCAGTCATTTATAGATCCTACCGTAGAATTTTCGGAGAGGTAAATGTTTTGTAATTCAATTTGGAATATTTTTTCTCATAGAGCGAAATATGTAATTACAGAATTTCGTTAAATGACTTCAAACCTTCCACCGAGGCGAACTTTATGGTTCCTCCACTATTCAACTCTGATGATATTTTTCAAATGATTGAAATTGATACTTACCACTGAACTCCTTGTACCGGTTATCTGACTTATCCCAAACTTGGGGCTAACTAAAATTACTCTCTCCATGGTATCTCCTCGAGGTCCTGCTGAAAAACACTTTGCTCCATAGCTAGGTAGCTGGCCAACGATGTCTAGATAGTGTAGCTTTGCTTGCAAGACAGTCAACTGTTTGCCGAGACCTGCCATGCTGGCGTGTAGCTTCAGGAAGTGACCGACGAGCTTGCGAATCTCTTTGCGCTTTATGTTTTCCAAGAGAGAGGCGGGAATGAACCGTTCCAGACCAAATTCTCGCCTGAAAGCAGGAAAGCGGTGAGTTTATTACGTTTGAGTGGTTAGGATACGGGCTTTTCAGTTGTAGAAATAGAAGGTGTATAGGTTTACTTGATATGCTATTTTCATAAAAAAAATCAAAGACTACGCCGATCTGTGTATGTTTTTAACTCTGAAACATTGTAAGGGTTCGTATCAAATTATTCATGTGCATGTAAAATACTGAAAAGAAAATGAAACTATCAACTTTGCAGAGATGTACTGACAAATAGTAAAATAACGATCACGACTTAAGACTACGGCCAATGACACACCAATTTTTTAACTATATTTATTTTATCTAAACTTTGGGATCAATCAGCCGTATATTGTTTAGAAAAATAACCATTGATATTTTCCGATTCCGGAGAGGGAGCCTGAAAATCAGCTACCAAGCCCAAGGCAGCAGGCGCGCAAAGGAGGGTTAAAAATAAGGCAGCAGGCGCGCGTGTTAATAAAAAAATACTCTTTTCAAATTAAGAAATACATGTAAAGTGGGTTCGAATTATATCAAGGAGGTTACGTACAGCGCCATCTGCCCACGAATAGATCAAGCAATAATGTCGATAATTCTGTCAAATACAGATCCCGAGCTTGGGAGTTACAAGCAAATAAACAAACAAACATACATACATACATAAATAAATACAAGTGAAGCTAATATAAAGTGTGTAATAAGATGAGTTTTCATGTTTGTTTCTCAAAACATTTATTTATTCATCAATTTCTATTTTATCCCCTACAATCTATTCCCCCTCAGATACAATACACTTGTGCCAGCATTTTTTTCAATCCTCAAAGCAGTTCTGATATGCACTTTTTGGTGTGTCCTTGAGCTGTCTCAGCGATTTGGTTTTTATCTCCTCAATCGTCGCAAAACGCCGTTCTTTCATGGGTTCCTTCAATCTTGGGAATAGGAAAAAGTCACAGGCGGTCAAATTTGGTGAATACAGTGGCTGGAGCATGATTAAGGTGTTTTTTTTTTACCAAAAAATTACGAACAAGTAATGACGAGTGAACAGGTCCATTAACGTGATGCCAAAGCCATAAATTGTTTTTCCACAATACCAGACGTTTTCTTCATATTTCTTCTCGCAAGCGGCGTATAACTTCAATATAATACTCGTTATTGACCGCAAGCAAGCAAGAACTCCTGATGTACTACGTTACGGTAATCGAAGAAAACAGTGAGCTAATCCTTGACATTTGATCGAAATTTACGTGTTTTTTTCATCTTGGCTCTCCTGGACCCTTCCATTGGAACGATTGGACTTTGGTTTCGATGTTATAACCCATGATTTGTCACCGTCACCAATTACGACGCTTTTGAGCAAATCTGTATCGCCGTTGACGTCAGTTAACAATTCCTGAGCGATGCTTATGCGACGACTTTTTGGTCAAAATGTCGCAATTTTGGAATTAACTTCGCTGTTACACGCTTCATGCCCAAAATTTCCGAAAAAAGTGCATAGCATGAGCCATCATCGGTTGTTGATGTGCTGAAGCGACCAGGGCGAGCGTCGTCTTTCCCATCTTCTCGACCTTCTGTAAAAATCTTATACCACTTGTAAACATTTTTCTGATTCAGGGTACAATCACCGTATGTCACTGTCAACATTTCAAGTGTTTTTTAGCACTTAATTCCATTTTTTACACAAAATTCGATGCAAATTCCTTGATCCATTAGTTTCGATAGTAGAAAATCGCCGAACACGAAAAACACTTGTGACTTTCATGCCTCTCACCAACAAACTAAACATGTTAAATAGCTGAAACTGTGAACATATGTTCGAGACGAGTTTATCAACATAAAAAAACGCATTCAAATCACCTTATTTTCTGAACAGATCTCGTACATAGGTAAAGTCATCTGTATCGAAAACCAAAATTTACCTAAACCTAATCTGTATGTATTGTAACGAANAAAAAAACGCATTCAAATCACCTTATTTTCTGAACAGATCTCGTACATAGGTAAAGTCATCTGTATCGAAAACCAAAATTTACCTAAACCTAATCTGTATGTATTGTAACGAATCTGAAGCCGCCCCTGAACGATACGCCAGCCGACTCATCGAAAAAACACACGACCTCACCTCAGAAGAATGCAGTCGGGAACCGCCGGTAAAATTCTAGTACCGAACCGACTACAGAATTCTCGAAAGGACCTTTACTGATATAAGCCAGCCTTCCCGACCCAAGAGGGCAGTTCAGAAAGTGAATCGAGCGGCTAAACAAAAAATTCAAATAGTGGAAATAAATTAGGCGTTGGTTGCTAAGTGTTGTGATAGATAAATTAGTTTGTGACTATTGAAATATTGTTGGAAATGAATTTGTTTAAGAGTATTCATTAATTTGCTACAGTGTTCAAGTATAACTTTATTGTGACATTTTCACCGAATGATTTACAAAACTTGTATATCACTATGCAATAGTTTAACAATAAAATGTCACTCAAATATGTTTTCTCGGATGTTTATCAATTATCGGCTAATTACACCATAATCTTATTCTTCGCTATCAATACCCTCCCTCGCAAGTCCTCTCAAATAAATACCCTACACCGAGAATACGCATCGGTATTGAAAAGAATACTGTGTTGAACTAAACGGATTATTGATATTAAAATAACCTGTAACGTGCTGGTTCTGTGAATCTCTAGAGTAATCAATGAAAGTGAGTTTCATATTTTACTTTATTCAGTTTCAAAATGTATCCGATGTTATAAGATCATTAAAAAACAAGAATTATATGGAAAATGAGACGAGATTTCTCATGGGCTTTTATAAATTATGCACGACTCTATTATAACTCCTTTTACAAGTTCTATCAACTTATCTTTAAGCTATGGTAAATTTCTAAACCTAATGAAAATATCTCTAGCATTTCCACTCCACATAATTAATTGATGAAAAGTAAAACGTGAACCTATGGCGTAGAATAAATCCAAAACAATCACTTTCCCCGAAGAGCAGAACTTCAATACCCTACTCGACGCGCGCTTCACTAACCAAGTTGGCGTGTCCAGGAGATGAAGTAAATTTGCCGCAACAATAATTCAGCCTCGAACCACTGATGGAACCTATGGCGGGTTGAAACAGCATGGTCTGATGTTAGATCATGGATGCGTTGTGTTTGGGCTCTGGTTTTCAGTAAAACCAAAAGTAGAAAATTTTTGTTAATTATTGAAATGTTGCAATAGAACTCATCATTTCTGTTAATGTTTTATTCTTGCCTTGTAGATTCAGATTTAATGTACTCAGTTTTCTAATAAAATCGGCCAAGAAAGCTAAATCACATTGCCAGTCTAAATCACGTTGAGCAGTCTGGTCTATTTATTTATATTTTTTGCCTTTCCACGATCGACTGGACTAATGGTCGCGATCGACCAGTCGATCGCGATCGACCGGTTGGCCACCCCTGATATATTATATTATGTATGTAAATTGTATATTGTGCCTCCAAGTGTACGGAATTTGTATTTTTAATTTTGTATTTGTACCCGTTTTGACATACTCAATGTCATCTATAGATGATCCAACTGAATAAATATTATTATTATTAATTATTGTCTACAAAGGACCAACTCCTTAGCAACTCACAGCAGACTTACAGCAACTCACAGTGACGTGTTTGGGCTCATTTTAATGGTCTCAATGAGTAAATAGTCCCAGTGTCAATGAATTTTTCTGGAGTTTTGATACGGCGATCTAGGCATGAAGTTATTTTATAACTTTTGAGTCGGTTTTTTTCTATTTTTAATTTTGTTGTTTGATGTTTCAAAAATGTACACAGGTGAAAATTTTGGTGTTTCTTAATGGATAAAAAAATTGTTTAGTCTCGAGTGTTTCTTTTATTTCATAAACCCTTTTTCTTGCACCATCAGAGGGCTTCGAAGGAGTGTTAAACTGGAATGGAATTATTACCATTTCTCACACCAGCAAAGAGTTACAATGAAATTGACCACTATAAAACAATAGATTCTTGGCGAATTCGAAGTATTTATCTTAATTAATCCACTTCCCATCAAAGGAAAATTTAAAGAAACGTTTTTGAAGGAAGTAGGAGGTAAATTCGAAGCGTTTCACACTATACAATGTTTACCAAACAAGGCGATGATTTTTATGACCAAGTGACGTTATTCTTTTCGCTAGGTGTACATTATTCACGTGACATGCGAGTGATCAGATTATATTGAATGAAATGTCAATTTCTCGAAAATAAAGGTGGCAAGTGTTCAAAGAAAGAACACTGGTAAAATGATATCTACACTTGACAGTTCCTACTATCCAAAGAAGCTTGTATGACCTTCTGAGTAGAAATAACTTCGTTCGTGAATAACCCCCTTATAAACAACAGATATACTTACTCCACCGTCTTCACCGTCAGCTTGGAAGCTTGCATATTATTGGCCAAGGCGTGCTGGTATATGTGCAGGGCTGCCAACCTTAGAGCGGTGTCGTACTGAAGTTCAGGCGCAAACCTTTCCTGTATCACGTCGTTGCAACACTGGGTGTACAGATAATCGAGCGCATTCAGATCTTTTTGAGCCAAAGCGGCAGCCGAAGCTGGGACGAATGCAACTCGGAATAGGCAGCGTAGTTTGTGGGCGCCAGGCCGAGAAGCTATCTATAATAATACATAGTATTAGGTATCGGAAAAGCAGAATTTAGACAAGTATTCTCAGAAAAGTTTTGGAAGCTGAGAAACAAACTATGGCAAAAGGAAAGTGAAAATATATTATTTTTGACATATCAAATTCATACAGACAAATCAAATTGCTCTGTTTTGTTCTATCGGGATTATTGCGATTCAAAGGTAGCTCCTTGATTATCCTTGATTATTTTTACATTATTTTTGAAAAGATTATGAAGTAAAGGAGCAATAGAGATGTCACAATATTATTTAATGAAACTGAATCTTTCAACATAGCTATAGCTCATTTCTCAACAATCTGCATTGATGTCATATAGTGTTTTGATGAGCTAGACGGTAAGTTGGGTTCACTAGGCAGACACAATTGGAATGAGATTCAATAAATTGATGGACGTAGCCGTTTCTACGTGATAGGAAATCATAATGAAGAAAGGAGACTTGAAACTTTAGGATCTTATAGGACGAAACTGCAGTAACGTTAGTTACAAATAAAAGTGGTAAAAATATAGAAAGTTTCAATTCTCTTTTCTTCATTCGGAATGAGATTTTTTTAACAGCACTTCGTAGAAACAAAATTATCTCCCTAAAAAGCGGATGTATTTTACTTCCCAAGTAGATGATTTTAAAGACAGACAGTAAATCAATTCGTAATTGGTTGAAAGTGAAACATATATATTGATATAAAAACAAAAATTTCAAAAGACCGTTTTTGTTTGAACTTACTGGGAACAGTGGAGCGCCGTTGACGCAGACGCTTTCTGCGAACCTCACCCTGGAAGGTTTGTTTTTCAGACGAGCCCTCTTGCTGGCCGATAAGAGGGTTGATTTTCTTGCACCATGCTGCTCTGCCGGCTGACATACCACCAAGTCAACCGTTTTTGTACACGCCCTCACCAATGAGATGACGTGTTCTCTTGGAGCTGTTTCGACATCCTCTCCGTTCACAGATAGGATCTGATCGCCAGGAAGTAACTGCAATTGATGGAAACGTGTAATGGGTAGATTGGAATTTCTTATCTTATATGTACAGTGTCACCATAAGAACATTTGTGCGAGATGTGTTTAAATAGAAAGTACTCGGGTGTCTGGAACATATTCTAGGAATGCAAATATTAAACTTTTCCAGTAATGTTGGACAGTCAACTATGCTTTTGATAATTTTATAGGTTAGTACACGCCTTTTTTCGAGACTGAAAAAGTTATAGTTTTGTAGCAATTCAGAGTGGGTTGTTCCTATTGAAGGATAAATGCAGTTTTAAAAATCGTCGTTAAATTGCTTCTATCCTATCAATATGATATTGATAAAAGGGGCTCCACACAACTGACGCGTACGCTAACTTTGATCTTATGGAAGCATAGCATAAAGTTTTTAAGGTCGAAGTTTCTTTGAAATCACTACTGTTACGTGCAATTAATCCGTACAAACGACAGGAGGAGGTTACAATGTTATCGATATGCCTATTAAATGGTAGTGCAGTGTCAAATGTGACGCCAAGATCAGTAAATGTTTCTGGTCTCACCAGGGAAACGTTTTCTATTGAATAATCAAAGATCAAGATGTTCGTTTTTAAACTGTAGGACATGACCTTACATTTATCCGGGTTTAGCGACAAGTTATTTCGATAACACCATTCTACAATCCGTCCTACGCTTGCTGAGAGGTTCACACAACCATCTATGTTCTCAATGAGGCAGTATAGTTTTAGATCATCGGCATACAAAAGGAAATACACATCTATAACATCTGCAATATCATTAATGAAGATATTGAAGAGCAACGGTCCCAGATTTGACCCTTGTGGAACACCGGAAGAAGCACTATATTCGGTAGATTTGAAACCATTGAGCTGAACATATTGTTTTCTATCCCGTAGATAGGACTGAAAGCAGGGCCCCCGTAAGGGCTACTGGCGCCTGTGTGCAAAAAAGGATTTTGGCGCCCCTTAAGGCATTTTGTATCATGCTTTTTTATTTATTTTTTTCAAGGTAGGTGGGTAGGTGCTTGCAATAAAGCAAAAAACTGAACTTTAGAAGTCATATTTATTTGTAGACTAAGATATCAAAATGAAACAAACAGAATAAAATCATAACAAAATAAATTAAAATAAATTCTTGTTCACACCCATTTTAAAGCATTTACTTAACGAATAGGGTACAGACACGTTGTTTATAAATACTAAAAAATAACCCAAAACTAAAAATCACATCTTTTTGTCTACTACTTTCTACTAATACTTAGATATTTTGAGAAATATGCAATATGCAGTTCTGATAAAAAATACCTAGGTAACTTCGTTATAAAATCAAAAATGATAGCTAAGTACAATAGAAGAATACAAAATAGCTATTGTAGCAGCGATATTTCCCGAGACTTTGCTACTGCAAATTCATTGATTACATGGCTAAAATTTATACCATCAAAAATTTCTTGTTCAATTGCTAATATCGCTATCCTAGACAAGAATTCTTGAAGCATTGTCGATATTAAATAATTTTTAATGATTTTTAACTTTGAAAAAGATCGCTCGCCAGACGCTACAGATACAGGCAATGTCAGAAGAATTCTTANCAGAAGATTGGTGACCGTTGAAAGATTTTTCATAAAACCGTGTTGGTTTATACTTATATTGCAACTTACATGTCGATATATAACTCGCTCCAGCAGAATCTCAAAAACCTTTGCAAAGTTGCAAATAATAGAGATAGGCCGATAATTTGAAATATCTCGTCTATCTCCTTTCTTGAAAATGGGACAGACTTTTTATGATTTCCAGATCCTTGGTATTGTAGCCGATCTCAAGCAGATATTAATTAGTATAGATAGAGGACGAGCAAGCACAAGTACACATCTTTTAGGATGAAAGCTGGAGTGTCATCTGGACCAGTGGTCTTTTTAGGCTTGAGCGACCTTAGTGCCTTGTATACTTTGTTTTCACTGAAGCTTGATATATCGAGAAAGTGATTATTATCAATATCAGAGTTTGGTTGAAAAGGGGAAGAAACGGTATACGATTGTTTGAAAAGATTGGCAAAACCGTTTACGAGTTATCCACCCTAATACCATAAAGTTAACAGAAAAGTTCAATTATGGGACGGCTGAAAGAAGGATGTTACCCTTAATTTTTTGTCACGGGCTTCCACTGTCCATAAAATGCAAGGCAGCCCTCTAAAGCACGCAGTTGTGTATTTAGGGTCGGAATTGTTTGAAGAAGGACAAGCATACTTGGCCCTAAATCGAGTAAAGTCTTTGGAAGGTTTATGTATTGAGGAGTTAGATTGCAACAAATTGTCGGAGAATAAATCTTGTAATACTGAAGCTCTAAATGAACTAAACAGAATGAGAAGAATTAAGTAACAAAATTAGAAACGAAAAAGTTGAGAATAAAAATAAGTAAAAAAAATATGTTGAACGGTTTCATTAAAAAAAAGACAATAATGATGTAGATAATATACTAAAAGCTAAAAAATTATTCGGAAAGTCCTAGGTAGCATTCATCACACCACTCTCCTCGACAATCTACGATATTGATCGGATAAAAAAATAATAAAATCTTTGGGCGTAGCGTAATCTGAGTAAATATGTAAATACTAGGCCCAATGATTTTTTTATTATTTTATCTGACCGATACCGTAGATTGCTGAGGAGAGTGGTGTGATGACTTATACCTAGGACCTTCCGAATTATTTTTTAGCTTTTGGTACATTATCTACATCGTTATCATCTCTTTTTTTCAAAAAAACCGGTCAACAAAAAAAAATTAGTTATTCTATAAAAATTGGTATTTATATATATGAAACAGTTACATTGAACAATAAAGTTTTTAAAAACTCATTTATACAGTTTATTGTAGATATGATTTCCACTAAAAACGGTTTTACAAATACCGCGACACGTGTTTCGCTATACAACAGCTTCCTCAAGCGTAAAATTATTTTATGCTTGAGGAAGCTATTGCATAGCAAAATATGTATCGCGGTTTTTGTAAAACCCTTTATAATGAAAATCATACAATAAACTGTATTAATCAGTTTTTTAATATGGATTTTCATCAAGTATCGGCTAGTTCTATTCAATTAATCAAGTTTGTGCCAATAATCATCAACTGCAAGGATAATTTCGTTCCTGGGAGCCCCTGAATCTTCAGAAGATATCAAGATAGGTGAGTCTGAAGGAATTTATTTCATTCTCATGATCAAGTTCACGATTTAAGTATACAGTCCACTTTTCTCTCAAAAAAATCTTTACAAATACGCAACAATAGCTTTCTCAACCGTTTTCATACTTTCACAAGTATGAAAACGGCATGAAGTACTTTCGAAAATATAAAGAACCAGAAGAAATTCAAGAAATGAAAAATGTTTTAGAATAGGAGAGTCTCTACACCACGAAACATTGTCAACCACCTTCAAACAAAGGTTACTGTTTTAGTTAAACCTAGAGGTAATTTGATATTTTCAAAAATATATTTGTCCTTCAAGAAGGATTGTAGGACTAAATCGTTTCCCATGAATGACGAGGTCATGAAAAATTATACTAACCAGCGGATTTTTTATTTTTGTAGTTATAGCCATATGAATAAATGAAAAACAAACATGAATTTGTAAAGTCTATGTTTAGATTTCCTATTTAAATAATATGTTTCCATCTTATGTGCACCATTTGAAGTCTTATTCCATTCCTTCAATAAAGAGTTTGTTCGGCCACAGATAATGCAGTATCAGTTGTTCAAAAGAATTTTTAACTTGGAAGGTTGATTTCTTTTCTTTTTCGTTTCTTATTGAAAATTCCACATTGCGTTAACATATTCGAAACATTTGTAAAGTTACCTTATGCCTCTGCTTTGAAAATATTGTTTGATTACAATTTCGTATTTAACTACATCATTTTATCTAAATTCATAAATGATCCTGAATTTACTTAAATTCCAAAATATCAATATAAAATATTTTGGGAAAAAAGGTTTTGGCGTTCTACTTCTTCATCTTTATACAGAAAATTGTGGAGATCTTCCGAAGATAGAAAAAAAGCAATTGATTCCGAAATAAACTCTTTACAAAGATGTGTAGATCATACAAAGAAGTAACTTTCAGACATAAACTGAAAGAAAGAGACTACTCTCATACAATCATTGAATAACACGAACGAAAAAATACTTTCGAAACAACTACTTTTATGTGAACATTGAATTATGCAAAAATACTTTTTCCTATTCGAATGTACTAGAAACATTCGGAATTGAATCAGATATCATTCACATAATTACTACACAAAGTATATGAAGGAGCTGTAATGAAGATGGAGAAGTCGAAAGCCAAAACGGTTTTCCCGAAAAGTAATCTTTTCTAAAAATATACCCCTTTCAATTTGATATTAAATACTTCTCGATTCTTCTGAAATACTGTGAACAGTATTATTTTAAAAATAATAATATTTCAAAATGGATTCATTCAGATCATACTCATTGTATTGAACATTTCATTTCCATTTAGCAAGTATGATACCACGTGAAATACGAGTACTTAAATAAAAACTGTTTGCATGAGACATATGAAAAAACCATCTTGTTGATGCAATATCTTAATGACAGCAGCTCGTAATATCATACCAAACACTTGGTAATGACTAATTCAGCGTTTGAATATTTATGTTGAGTTGAGCATTAATATCTAATGTATGCAATGACCTTGTCGTAATTGAATCTGGTGGAAAAATATATAAACCAATTGCTGTAGAACAGAATGTGAAATGAGTTAATTATACCATCTCGAAAATTTTGCTTCGACTAATCATTGAAAAATATTCATTAAGTACATAGCTATAATGTCTTCCAACAGGGACTTTCAAAGTAGCTCCTTAAGAATCACAAATGTCTGAAGAATCGTCTGCTGAACAGATTCTTATTTTGCTGGCCAGATAATCAGCCGCCGAGAAGGTCCTTTCAAATTCAACGCTAGTTGGAACCGCAGATCTCAGACAGTCATCCACAAACTGTAAAAGTTCGCTCTTTGACCTCCGGACTCGTATAAATTCATTTTCTTTTTGATTAATGACTCCAGCGAATTCGTAGTTAGTTTTCTGTCTCTAGGTTCTTTGAACGCAGCAGTCAATATTTCCTGAAGTCCTTCTTACAATTAAATACTCTTGCGTGTCTCAAAGAGACATGAAAGCAGTTGACCATCGTTACAGTCATCATCAAATTCAGAAATACCATTAGCAGTGGCCGCTGATGTTGATGCGATTTTTTGGAGGCAATTTAAAAGTTTCGTCTTTCGAAAACTCATCTTTATTTGCTAGGTATTTAGCAGGATCTCTAATATAACAAGCATGCTGTCAAATTAATGTATGTGACTACCTTATCTTAAATTCATATTTTATTTTTTTAAATACTTTCAATAACCTTAGAATTAGGCTTGACAATTCCCATACATGTAACTGTCAACGGGAAATAGATTTATTATTATAATTATTCGTCCGACGCTCTACAATGCCCTTTCTCAAGGAGCCAGCTACTTTTTCTGCCAATCAAAGCTTTGCTGACACACAGCTTGAATCTATCAAATGTAGAAATCATGGCTGCTATATAGGCTCGGCCATCGAGTTTTACAATCAGGTTGTAACTTTAAAATCTTTTCCAAATTCTTGCTTTACGTATACTTGCAGAGTATCAGTTTTCTAACTTTCTCAATAATACCTTCATATTCTGCATCTAGGTCTATTTCTATTCTGCGGAGAGAGCAATGAAACACATCATTTTCTGAGTTCTGAGCCTGTCCTAGATATTTCTTCAAATTCAAATGGAATCTCATCGTGGTTTTTCTCATTTTCAGATTTTTTCACAGGTTCCTCAATATCAGTTTGTTTTTAATAAGTACAATATTGTTAAACTCGCAAGATCTCGCCCATTTGTCGGCCGAGATCAATCCCGCTAAAAAAGGCCAAGATCTCGCGAAAACGAGCTATCGTGAGAACGAGATTGCATTCTCTAGCAACAATGATGAATTAGCTGTCAAATGGAAAAACAAGAGAGAAGTGGGTTTGCTTTCCAGCTATCATCAGGCAGTCGAGAAATATCTAAATAAAGAGGGAACAGTCGAGGATGTGCCATTGGACTATAACAAATATATAAATGGTATCGATGAGTGTGACAAAACAAAATTCACTTATCAAGCTGATAGAAAAAGCCATAAATGGTGGCATATAATTTTTTGGTGCTTGTATTGTTTACGCTGATATTATACAGGGCTTTTCATGATGAGCGTTAATTAGCCGTTTCTGGCAAACTATTCAACGGATCAACCTGAAAATTCCACAGTATATGCATAAGTCAATATGACTTACTCGCCTATGTTTTTGTGAAGTATACTTCAAAAAAGTCTAATTTTGCCTAGTTATGTTTGAATTCGATATTCTCTTCATTTTGTAAAAAAAATTATTTAAGACAATTTATTGTATGATTTTCACTATAAAGGGTTTAACAAAAACCGCGACACGTGTTTCGATATAAAATAGCTTCCTCAAGCGTAAAACAGTTTTACGCTTTATATTTGTCTCATTCTACAATAACGATTACCTACCAGGTGAAGTTACCATTGGTGTTTCTGTTTCTGTGAATTCTTGAGAATCAATGGTTTATACGCTTCGAGAACGGATTGAAATAGTGAGTTTGTACTACCGTGTTAGGAATCACACGTAAAAAGGTAAGACCTCGTTAGTTCTCAGCTCGCACAAGTTTCTCAACGTCTGAGAGTTGTCGTTCGTATGGGGGCGACAGCTGATTAACGGAAAAACAGATTTCAAACAATTTTTTTTAAACAGAATTGAAATGCTAGAGCTGCTGCCTGTATGTTCAATGTTAATCATCCAGAAAGAAATGTGCGACACAAATATGTTTCGGGATTATTGAACAAATTTATGGAAACGGGATCTGTTAACAATAAAAAGCATAACCGTTCATGACTTGTCAACGATAAAGCTATTTGTACTGCAGTTTTAGGGCACGTTGTACTAATGGAAAATTCGCAAAGACTAGTTCATGAATTGAACGAAGATGATTTCGATAGACGGATTGAGTTTTGTGAAAGTCTCACTAAACGCATCAACTTGCATCAACATTTCTTGTATAAAATTTGTTTTTCGGATGAATGTACGTTTAGTTTGAATGGAGAGGTGAATCGGCAAAATTATCGATATTGGAGTGATACGAATCTTCATTTATACCGTCAAGTTCATACCCAACGACCTCAAAAACTGAATGTTTGGGCAGGAATTATAGGTGACCACATCATAGGACCTTTTTTATCGATGAAAATTTGACTAGTGATAAATATTTGATTATGTTGGGGAATCGAATAATACCGTGCATCAATAGGGCAATTGAGAATGATATAAATTTATTCGAAAACGAAATAGGTTTTCAGCAGGATGGTGCACCTCCTCAGTATGCAGCTCCAGTGAGACAATTTTTGGATTATCATTGTCCTGGTCGCTGGATTGGCAGAAGAGGTTCTACAGAATGGCCACCAAGCTCTTCGGATCTTACTCCTCTATATTTATTTCTATAGGGTCATTTGAAGTCTAAAGTGTATGAGATAGAATCAACAACATTAGAAGATTTGAGAGAGAATATCATGAGGCATTGCAGAGAAATAACTCCCGAGATTTTCAACAATGTGAGGCCGGCAATGGAAGCTCGTTTGTACCATTGTATGGAAGTTGGTGGAAACCTGAGCGTAAGCACCGATGCGGTTTTTGATGGTTTAAAACGTATTGGAAAGGTCAAAAAGCTTGAAAAGTAGGTGCCCCACGATTTGATCGATCGGCAGAAATTGTCACGTTTCGAGGTCTGTTTTTTTTGCGTTTGCGCAACCAAAACAACCCTTTTTTGGAGACGTTCAGGATAGTGATTGGACACCGATGAACCACCCAAAGGCGAAAATCCACCAAAAATGACCATGGTTACTGTAAGGTAACTGGGCGGTTCCACGAGGGTGCTTTGTTTACTAAGTCAATCGGCCGATGTGTGAGTCGATGGTTCAAGCCCCAGGCCGAACGCTCAATTTTCACTTGCTATCGTCCAACCCGTGTTAGGAATCACACGTTGAAAGGTAAGACCTCGTTAGTCCTTCGTTAGTCGTTAGTCCTCGTTAGTACCGAAAATTTCACCAGCAGCAGCCGGTACTGGTCAACAGGAGAGATCCAATCCTGCTCCACGACATCGCACGTATACACGTTTCACAAATTACTGTTCGAAAATTAAACGAATTGAGGTCAAATTTCTGCCTCACCCACCATACTCTCAAGACCTCTCGCCAACATTCCAATAACTTTCTCACCGGTAAAACCTTTTCTAATCAGAAGTAGGCAAAAAAGGTCTTCGTCGACTTCATCGAATTCTGAGCTCAGAATTTTTATGCTGACGGATCTAATCGACTCGTGTTACGTTGGCAAAAGTGCACTGATTCAAATGGCGCTCATTCCTATTCAATTGAATAGACTTGTAAAAATATACAAATATACAAGAAAATATTAACCATGTTTTTTACGAGACAAAAAAATAAATTCGAGCAACAATTAGGGAATGCAATCTCGCTAGTTCATGAATAACAATACCGCAAGATCTCGCCAATTTGGTGATCTCAAAAAATTCGCAGTTTTGTGTTTATTCTTGTAAATAATCACAATATTTGAATGAATTGGAAAAACATAGTAGGAATATTTGATGACAGCACGACCAGCTGTCGAAAGCGCTCGCATATAATTAAATAATAATAATAATCCCAAATCGTCCGTTCCACGGTTGTACTTTCCCCGACAACAGGAAGGTCGTGGACTTTTGAGTTTGGAGTGTCTACATGACAGAATGGTACTGGATATAGTCTGTAAAGTCGTCAGGAGTTCAGTCCCTTCTCTGCATGGTCCGTGACCATGAGAGAGCAGGAATTGGAGCATTTCTCTTTAGGGCAGCTGCCCGAGCAGCTGATGAACTCGGTATAGTTTTCGACTCTGAACGAGGTGACCACAACTCTGTCACCGATTTGGATAAAAGCCGCAGAGATCACCTTACTTCTGCGGAAACACAAGAATAAGCCAATGCATGGGGTCTTCTTCAATAACATTGGAGACCTTGGCTTATCAAAGCGCTTGACGTTCGTTTTTCTCAGGTCGAGTGGGCTGAAGTCGGAAACTGAGGGGTTCATCATGGCTTGCCAGGATGGTGTCTTCAACACCTTAGTCTGCCGCAGTCGCGTGATTGGTATAGAGGTTCCTGACACAAGGTGCAGGGCCTGCCACGGGGCGCCCGAGCCCTAATGCACTTGCATTATGCATATGCGGTCTCGGCCTATACCATCGACATAACGCGGCTCTAAGAGTGCTATATTACCATGTACGGCACTCTTACGGTATTGACGAGACACCGGTGTTGCCCACGATATTGAATCCGTTGTGGGAAACGAGAAGTGCCGAATTTATTGGAACTATTCGTTCCTCACCCTCAGGCTCATACAAGCTAATGAGCCTGATGTAGTCCTTCTCGACCACCAAAGCAAAACGATATTTGTCGTGGAGTTTTCAGCTCCTGGCGAGACAAATATCGTCAGAAAAGAGGAAGAAAAACGGATAAAATATCGAGATTTTCTCTTCGAACTCCGCAGACTCTATCCAGATAGATCACTCTGTCAAGGTGGTTGTTCTCATTATTGGAGTCCTTGGTGGGATGATGCCCTCTCTACTCTCGAATTTCAAAATCATACCGGTTTGCCGCACTAAGACAGAAATCTTAGCCACACAGATGCAGAAGGCTGTCATTCTTGGCTCACTGCGCTTGCTCAGGGAACGTGATTCTCGGACCCAATGATCACGTACCCCACGGTGTGGGGAGTGGTCAATGGTTGAAATGCTGGCGCGCCCTCCCGAATGTATCGGGGATTCGGGGGATAGGGCCTGACCAGCGCACACTACGATAATAATAATAATGAATTTATTCAAGCGAATACATACACATAAAATACAATGTAACAGGCACGCATAATATGTGGAATACATCGATACGATACATTGGTTACAATGACCCTAATTTCTTCCGAACAAATTCAAGAAACCCACAAATGATGTAGAAATATGTTAATATTAATAATTATTGAAAAAACATAAGAATAATAATATTATTATTGATTGTGTCCTAATATTGTAAATAATGCAATGTTAGTTATTTTTCAGGTCTATAAGACTATGGAATGCATTGCGCGGTTTACAAAGTTCTAGGACTTTCGATTGGTAACTGATGATATGAACATTCCTATCTACTTCTAATTTTTAACTAAGAAGCACACAGTATACGCTCCTCTACGAACTTCGCAAAGTTCACATTGCGGACTATACCCTAGAGCGGCGTGAAATTAATTTCCCACAATAGTAGTTTCCAGAACGCATTCGCGAAACTCTTCTGGCATTTCCTCTCGCAAAGTTCGCTCTACTTCTAAAAGGAAAACCACACCGTCTCGATCAAATTAGGTCGTCAAAAGATCCTCTCTCTATGCCGCCAATAAATCGATACGTCTAACAATCTATTCGCAATGAACACATCGCCATTTAGACCGGGAGCCAGCGAGAGATTTTTGCGACTTATTTATTCCCAGCGGATAATTTCAGATATGCTTCATACGACTGTGTTATGGTTGCCTCTCATACACGTAAAAATATAAGTTTTCAGTGATTTATTCCACATTGAAAATTTTTCAGATAATAGGTGGCAATACAAAAATGACAGCTGGCTGTCAGGTGGTGGATTACACGTCAGCTGATCGTAGGAACATGAAAAATG